AAAAAACCAACAATCCCCAGTCTGGCACGAAAGAAGCTTTCATCTCCAAGTCTGAGAATGAGATGACTGGCGCTCCACCTGTGGCCTAGGCCGAGGCAGGGCCAAAGCGGGGAACTGGGAGATCAAGTTACACCTCCCAAGCCAGCATTTTCTGGTGTAAGTCTAAGGTAGGCTGTGTGAGGTTTCCTCCTTCATCTGTACAATGGGGACAGTAACAGGTGTGCAGGACCCAACCCATGGTATTTTCAATTGCTTCTTATGTGGCTTAAAGGTAGATAATGAATCAAGATGATATTGTGATGGTAGAGAAGAGCATATGGACTGCCCAAAGGTCTGTCTTGAAGTACATGCTCGCTGGGTGCTCCACGGAGGCAAGGATGGGGAAATTTCATCCCACATAATCCGGATGTGTTGTCAGGAGGGGTCAGTTCTTGGAAAAAGACATCAAGCTGTGAAGACCTTCCACAAGGTGGACTGGCACCATGAGGAACAATGGGCTCGAGCATATCAGAGATGGTGACGGTGGAACAGGTTAGGACAAGGTTCAGGTCTGATCACGGAGTCGCTGAGTCCCAGTCGACTAGATGGCATTTAACAAGAAGAGCGTTTGGAAGCAGGAGTGGCATCCACTTCCTAAACAACTTGCCTCTGGAAACTCTATGAACTTGGAGAAATGTCGATGGTTGTAGAGGGGCTTCAGGCCTTTTGTTCACAGGGTCACTATGAGTCCTGCTCAACTTGAAGGCAATTAACAAGAAGAGCAGGCCTGCTCACAGGACTAGGTGTGGCAGCGCAGGGCCTCTGTGAAGGCTGCACGGCAAGGGCACGCAGTCCCCTTGGGTTTCCGTTCTACTGATCCCACTCCCTTCTTCACTCTCACCCCCTTCTATGACTACAGTGAAGAGCACCGCAACACTACTCTCCCCAGCTGACGCCTATGTCCTATCAAAAGCTGTTTCTAGTACCTGCTCACTGCCTACCCTCCTCAACCTGTCTACCCTTCAGTCCTCAACGCACAGCAATCTACCTTCCTCCCCTCACCTAACCAGAGCTGCTTCACACTGGTAACTGATGTCTTCTTAAACTCCAGTCTTTGTCTCTGGAAGCCTGGCTGATCTGTCACGGGGCTGCTTTTTCTTGTACCAAAGAGGGGGGGGGGAAGTTACTGTGGTTTTCCTCCCTAATTGTTTTAATGATTCATCATCTTCTCAACTTATTTTCTTAAACCAAAGATTCTGTAAGGTCTGATCTTGGGTTTTTTTAAATTTTATTTATCTTATTATTTTTTGTGTGCGTGTACTGTCAAATCAGATCTGACTGGTACAGGAGGAGATTGTCCCTCCTTCCCCAGCAGAGCATCTGGTGGATTTGAACCATTCGCCTCTGGGATTGTAGTTGCAGCTCCTTGCCACTAGGCCACCAGAGCTCCCCTAGGTCTGATCTTGTTAATCACTATTTTCCCTCTTCTTACAGATCTCTTGAAACTTTTACTTCCCACTCTTTTCTGAATCCTTTCAACATTTGCTATCCATCAACTGCACTGTGGTGGCTCATGTGTTGCTAGGAGGCCGAGAGTTGTGTAACCAGTATTTCAATTAATTATCAGCAAAGGTCAGTGCAAGAAACAGGTTTCAACAGAGCGTCCAGATCAACACAGACTCTAATAAATCTGGTGATGGTCTTTATTCAGACTCACAGCTGAACCTCCTTTTCAAAGGCTATAAACAACACTGGGGGAGATTCCACAGAACGTGGAGCTGCTCGTGCATTTGAACTTCCAGAGACGCATGGGCCTCGGGGATAGCAGCACAACCCCCTACACACGGTGCCACCAGAGCTCCCTATGAAAATGAGCTCATGGGAATCGTGAGTCCCAGCACAACACTGCTCACTTGCTCACTTTGGACATGATGCCAACAGAGTCCAGCTGCTTGAGGAAGACACTGTGTTTGTTAGGGGGCCAGCGAGGCTGTGGGAGACCCTCAGTCAGACAGATTAGTCAAGTGGCCTCCATGAAGGACCTGATGCAGGAATGGTTCTACTGTAGATGTTATCCATTCCAGGGAAGATGTTATGTGCCGTTGAGTTGGCTCTGGCTCCTGTAGAGACCCTATGAACAACAGCCCTGAATTCACACACCTATCCTGAGCCGACTCCAACACACCTGATGACCCCACTGCCAGTTGCTGTATATGAACTGTGCCTTACTAATCTCCTAATTGTGCTTTACTTTTAAATATTAGAAAAGTGTTTAGCATATATTCTTCGTTATTGTTACGCACCACTGAGCTGTCTATGCCTCAGAGAGACCGTATGGACAACTTTGAACCCTTCCCCATCCTGAGCCAACCTGTCTCTGACACACCTAACTCCACTGTCAGTCAGTGTCAATGCATCTTATCCAGGGTCTTCCTCCCCTGTGCTGACTCTCTGCCCTTCCAAGCAGGATGTCATTCTTCAAGGACACGTCCCTCCTAACAACATGCTCAGAGTTTTAACACAGAGCTTCAACATTCTTGCTGCCAAGGAGCAACCTGGTTTTACACTCTCCAGGACAGATCTGTTTGTTCTCTTGGCAATCCATGGCATGTTCAATGCTCTTCTCCAGCATCACAGCTCAAAGGCATCAATTCTTCTGTCATCCTTACTCAAGGTCCAGATCTCAGATGCAGAGAAGGCATGTGAGAAGACCAGAGCCTGGATCAGGCACACCTTTGACTCTAGATTAACATCATTGCTGTTTTAACACTTGGGAAAGGTTCCTAACAGGAAATTTTTCCAAAGCAACTCGTCTTTTGATTTGACTGCTGGTTGACTGTGGATCTGAGCAAGATGACAGCTTAACAGCCTCAATCTTTCCTCCATCCATCAATCATGACACCACCAGCGGTCCTGGTGGGGAGGATCTCTATTTTCCTAACGTTGCGATTCGGTCCACGTTGAGCACTGCGCTCCGTGACCTGCTGCAGTCCCCGTTTCAGGTCTGTCTGCATTTCCCATTGCTCCCGCCTCCAGTCTGTGTCCAGCACTGACGTCGGAGCTGATTTCCCAAAGCTGCGGTGCCACGTGTCACGTCCGCAGCGGGTGACAAGTCCCGAGCGGACGTGCACGTCCCCACCCCTTGGGCCACCCTCGGTCTGCGTCCCCA